TTCTTAACAAAGTTGTTAAAATAAATATTAAAAAATATATTTTACTTAGAAAGTATATATTTAAAGTTAATATTTAAGGTTTTATTTAAAAATTATAAAAATTAAAAATAAATATAGACAAATTTGTCTGTATTACAATTTAAGGGATAGTATTATCTAAGTAATTAAAAATATTAATTTGTAATTTCTATTTCTAAAATTTCATTAGATCCTTATATCTATATGTTTAGCTCTTGGTGAATCTTTTACTAGTAAGATATTTATCTTTTTGTGAGATTGTAGTAAGCTGCAAGCTATTATTATATTCTTATATCGACTTAATTTGGCTTATAGATATACTTCACTAGCAAAATATTATTTCTTCTGTAGGGTTACAGTAAGCTATGAGCTATAGTTGAGTTCTTATGCCTATTTAATTTGGCTTATAAAGTACTTTTCACTATTAGGATATTATTTATTCTGTGGGATTGCAATAAGCTACGAGCTATTCATTATCATTATTATTATTATCCAAGAATATTATATTTAGGAATTCTTATTATTTAGAAATATTTCATCTGAGTATTGTAGTAAATCTGTTTCTAAAAGAAATTAAATCTAAAATTTTTTATTAATATAAATAGTTGAACTTTTCAAGAATTAATGTTCAAAAGTACTTGATTAAATCTTCTCAGCTTAATAAATTAAATTAAAATTTTATTATATTTTTGAAAAGTAACAACATAAAAACTACTAGTCATATCTTGCTCAGAATTGATAAACTATAAGTCTTTTTATGTAATAGCTTTTTGCAAAAGGTAGATTATTCTCACTATCAGCTCACTTTTACTCAGAAATAGCAAACTGTTATTGATAAATCTTTAATAATCTTTAAGGCTTTTGAAATAGAGTAAAGCTAGCTAATCTTCAGTCATTTTTATATAGAAGTAACAAACTATCTTGATTTAAATAAAGTAAAATAGAATGTTTAAAGTAATATTTATAATGTTCTAAGTCTATATCTATAATGAAGTTGAGTATAAGCATTATTCAAAATAATAATCTACAAGAATATATATATGTACAAATCATATATTCAAAGTAAAGTTGTTTAAACTCTATGAAGTATCTAAGTGTTTGGTTATATCTAAGTTTTTAAAACTTACTTTTTTTAGTTACTATAGGTATATAATAATTTAAAAGTAATAAGTTTTGTGGAGATTATCTACTATGTAAGAAGTAGAAACAATTTTTAAAAATTTTTACTTATGTGGTACAGTAAAAAAAAAAACTTTGCAGATCAATTTTAAAAAGCTATATTAGAAAGATATTCATACTATATAACTTTAATTTAGTGTCTTAAGTAAAGTTGTAGACTAAATCTTTACAGTTCTAATGGATATTGAAAAGTTAAAATCTATTTGCAAAAAGCTAAGATATAACAATTTTTGTAAATTACTAGAACTATATATTTTTTCTCTTCTTAGGTCTTCTCTAAGAAAATCATTTTTGAAAATGCTAATAGAATTTTTAAAACTAATTTGCAAGTTAGAGAAATATTTTCATACTAATATATATTTTAATAAAAGTTGTAGAATAGGTTATTGTGAGTAGAATAGTATATATTTCATCCTTCTATATTCAATATTTATAGAGATATTAGTGAAATATAATAAGTAATTATAAATCATTCTAAAGAAACTTATTTTTAGTAATCAGATATACTATAATTCTGAAAGTTCATTCTTGGTTTTATTATCATCTGCTTATATTGAATAGTATATCAAATAGAGGCCTTTTTATTTTCTTTTTGCCAAAAGATATCAAAATATTACAAATAGCATAGCCTTTTCAATATATTACAAATAATATAAGACATGGAAGAAGAACTCCTAATAGTATCAAAGTAGAATATTATATTATTGTAATAGTTCATTTAAAGGAAGTATTAGACAAAGCCAAGGTTATACTTTATTAAAGAATTAATAGAGAACTTTAGACTTTATTGAGTATTATATTATTTAGAACTTAACTACAAAACTATACAGAACTAACTAAAGAACTATTAGAACTACTTTATAAGAAAAGAAAAACTAGAGTTTATATATCTTTTTCTAAATAATACTAAATATTCTCAAATGTAGTTAAATGTTATTAAATATAGTTAAACATTATCAAACATAGTTAAATATCATCAAATATAGTTAAATATTATTAAATATAAATATTACTCAAAATGTTAATTCTAAGATAACTCAAAAACTACATGTACTATAGATATAATTTATAGCTTATTTTGAAGGTCTAATCGAGCTACATTAAATAGTTAATCTAAATCTATTTTTAGCTATTAAGAATTTAAAAGAAACACTAATATATAAATCTAAATATCAAATATAATATAATAATAAATAATTAAAAAAATATACTAAAGTTTATTTGATAATAGTAATATATAGTTTTGTTTATTACTATATGTAGCAATTTTATTTTACTTTTATTAATATTTGACTTTTTAGATAATTGAACAAAATTGTCTAGACTTCTTTTTTTCTTTATATTAAAGAGGTTTTTAGTATAATAGATCATGTTTGAACATGTATGCAAATAAAGTATCAAGTAATATTTTCTATTAGGAAATTAGATATATAAAAAAGAACTATAGATTTTTGTATTGAGTTAAATCTTATGCAAACTAGCCATCTGTAACTCTTTATCTAATAAATGTATAAAATATGATTATTAAAAGAAAAAAGATTTATAATATAAAAATTGATTTTTTTTTTTTTATTTTTAACTTTTTTAACAATATTTAGTCTATATAATAAATATCTAATCTATCTTCTCACATAAAAAGATGTTGAAAGAATTAGCTAAGACAGCTCTCAAAGTATTAGTGATATAATAAAAATTATAGCTACAGCCACAGCTAAATCTTTCCATTAATCGTAAGAATTACACAAAAAATACGTTATACTGGTCTGCATTATGTAAATTTTGTAATTTTGGCCGGAAATTATATTTTTAAATTTTTATTCCAAAAAATTGTTTTTTTAGATAACTATAATGTAATTAACCAATAAATTTGCAGGATCAGGTGTAACGTGTTGTGTAACAAAAACAAAGAAATTTTTAAAAAAATGCGAATATCTCAAGAATTCGCCTATGAAACCACCTTCGACGTTCTAACAAAAAAAATTCCTTGCTAAAATTTGCATATATATAACATCTTGTTAAAATCCCAGGCCTCGCCCTAACCCTAAAGTTAATGAAATGAATCTTTTTATTGTTTTATCGTTATTGGCTAATTATACATCGGTGATGATCACCACCGGTTATTTAAAGTTAAATTCTTTTAGAAAATAGGCCGTAAAATTAGCATGTTTTTTTTGTAAATTATGTTAGCCAATCACAATTGAGGATCTGCCGCGCATTTGTTGTGCGAAAATGATTTAGCTGTGGCTGCGGCTGTAATCTTCGTTATGTCACTGGGCCGCCCTGGCAAATTCATGTTGAAGATGAGTTGGACGTTTATTATGTGATCTACAATAAGAAATGGTCAAAAACTAATTGGGCTAATGCCCAAATTTCACAAACGCGACGTAATGGTTATCAAAAGGGAATTTGATAAGAAATAGGGGTTTCAAGATCAGCGTATTTTAATAACAAGTAGTCGTGTATATTTAAATTTTAAATCAAAAAAATGAAGATCTGTAAACCTTTTGTTGTTTTGGTAATAGGTACAGTATATATGCTTAAATATTTATTAATAGACATGTAAATAAGCTTACACTTACTAAAATAAAATACGTACATATAATTTGCGGAAATAGGTGATCTTTAATTTTTACTTTAAGTGTAACATCTTATACTGTAACACGAGCGATTATGTCTTATATATTTTCAAATTATTGTCTAATTTATACGTATGTCACAAAAGCAAATTTTATAATAAAATATGTATACGTAATCTTTAATTAATTGGTAAGACTTGGTGCGAATTACGGATTTTAAGTTTTAGCCAATCAGAGTACCTATATGAAAACAAGATGAATTCGATCCATTGCGTGAACGCTTTTACGTAGTCTGCTAAAATTAATTTATCGATTAACACAAAAGTGACTACGTATAATCATTAGTAATTTGAATTGTTTAATTATTTCAAATGATACCAAATTTAATCAATGAACCCTGAAAAGAGAGAGGTACAGTACTAGGGTACGATACTCCTAATTGGTTTATATGGCTATCGTTATACGCCAATTTCTTGATTAGAAATTCTATTGATTATATAATTTGCAGGATAAATCATCTGAGATTTCGCGTAAGGAAATTTACAAACTGATAAGAGACTGATAACAATAGTGTTATAATATCTATTTAATAAACCTGCGTATAGCTAACGCGAAAAATTAAAAAAAGAAACCTTCGTATCATTAATAATTATATATCAGATATGTAAAAATATATTATCGTTGTCTGTTATTATAATTTATTTTTTAATTAATTAACGTTAATTAATTAAACTATCGCTATTATATTATATAATTTATTAAAAAATAAATATTAACTATTTTTTTTTCTTTTTTTTTAAAAAAAAAGATATAATTTTTTTCTATTATTATTTATCCCATTATAAAAAATATATACGAAATTATTTGTCATGTAAAAGTTTTATAATTTAAAAAATATGCTAATACACAAAAAATAATAAATATACATATTGCTGTATTGTATATTGCTTTTATATCTTTCATTTGAATTAAATATAAATTTTAACTAAATCCGTTCGTTTCAATGGGCATTTCATATACTTTGGGACTCAATGATCTCCAATTTTCATAAAGCTGTTGTGAATACTTGATTTGATCATTTACAAAGTTCTGATATAAATGAGAGATAAAAGCGGTGCTTTTATGGAACAAAGTTAGTTCAGAATATAGACAATAACGCATAAATACTTTTCGCATTAGCTGGTGTTTAATATCTTCTTGATCCTTAAATAAAAATTATATATAATATTAATTAAAATTCTGCCGATGTATATAAAAAAACTAAATAGTTACCTTTTGAATTAAAGCATTTAATTTTTCTACTTCCGGATCACTGGGATCCTTATTAGATATCGACGCGAGGCGAACTCTATTATTTGTTATTCGATTATTGAGGGACTCCATCGAGTCAATAGCCAACCGATCCTTTCGTTCAAAAGTTTCCTGAACCATGATATATAATAAATTAATTATTCATCGGCAACTTGTACAATTAAAGATAAAGCTTACTCTAAAAGAAACGAGAAGGTCACGTTGACGTTTCAAATTTTCTAAGGCAGATTCAAGCGTTGCTGCAGACTTGATTTCGAAATCAATTATTAGTTTATATTATTACTACTAAAAAAATTCATTATCGGCCATACAAAAAAAATTTTGGTTTTCGACCGGCTTATTTTTTTTTTTGATTTATATATAAAAATTTTATAAATAGTTCATCAATTATTAACATAAAATTTTTTTAAATTTGACCTTGCCGGGATAAGAAAACCAAAACCAAATTATTTATTTATTTATTTTTTTTGTATCGCCTTACCATAAGAAACTCACGGCATTTTCCATAATAGCGCCTGTTCTTTGAAAATGATTTGACACTTCCTTCATCCCTTGTACTACTTGTGAACAATTATAACAATCTTCAATATAACAATTCTTTTCTTTTTCTATCAAAGAGCTGTTAAATATAACTAATTAAAATTAAAAATAATAAGAATATAAGTTTTTAAATTATAAAAAAAAACGAACATACTTCAGGGCCAAGTTATATCGCATATAATCTGTTGCCATGCCTTTGAAATAAAGAATTGTTGAAAAAACAATTAATTGATAGATATGATCAAGTGAAGGAAAACCAAAGATTATAGAAAATACAATATAGAATGTTCGTGTTATAAAATTGTTCAAGTTTAGAACAAACCTTCTTGACGACGAGCGATACGCTCCATTATATTGCACATATTTCTGTAATGTTCAACAGTACCATCTAATTTTCTAACAACTTTTTCCAACCTTAGATCTAAATCTTCAGGTATACGCTGCTCCATTTCAGGTGTAACCTGTCTTTTAAGATATTCTTCTTCTAAATCAGGAGTATTGGTTCGACGCCATACAGCTATTTCCTATTTTTAATAAATAAATAATTGAAGCTATAATTTCAAGATAAATAATAATAATAATAATAATAATAATAATAATAATAATAATAACGTTCATACCATTTTTTCTTTGAGAAACATTTCTATTAATTCGTCATCTTTCAAGATTGGATGCATCGCAATAAAGTTCAAGAAACGAGCTAATCCTTTCCGCCGTTTTTCCAGAAAAGATTCGTCAACTGTGAAATAAAACCCGTTAACTAAACCAAACAAATATCGGATTATTCTAATATCCGATTTTTAATATTGAAAATTTATAATTAAATAATATATGAAATATGATATTTACCTCCAATCTTCTTTGGTGGAAGGTCAGGTAAGATGCGGTAAGGATATTTCTTTACTAAGCATTCCATTAACCACCAAAAATCACTATATCTCCTTGTAACAGTAGTTTTATATCGCTTTAAATAATACATATAACAAGAGAAATAAGATTTTTTTTTTCGGTATTTTAATATAATGAATGTCATTAAATGACATCAAATAATAGCCAATTCTATATTACCTGTGAATCTATAATATAATTGACATGTTTAAATAGAAGAAAACCATCTCTTTCCGGCGCAATCTTTACAGTTATAAGATCCATGTCCAAAAACCATCGGAAATCATTTTCGTTAGGCAAAATAGAAATCATTGCTGGTGTGTTAATAATGTTACTAGTTGTAGGAAAATTTGTTGGTGGGGCATATGTTGAATTTGATGTATTTGTAGTAGGCATAGCCCATGGATCATCGGCTTGTAAGGGCATTGGACGCGAGGAGCTAAGGGAAGTTAAATCTCGATTGAAATTAATGCTCTCTAAATTTGTTAAAATTGGCTCCGGAAGATCTACACCAAAAAAAAAAATTCACGATATTAAAAATAAACCAAATTTTCTCAAAGCAAGAACATAAAAAACTTACCATTTTTTCTCTCGATTACTGTCTCAATTGAGACATCTTGATAATTTAAATAGAATTTTATCTTAATTAAAATAATTTAAAAAACTAGAAATAAAATTATTATCACAATATTTCAAAATTTATTTACCCATATTCTTTTGTGCCAATGCCACTAAAGCGAGAGCTACGTTAAATTCTCCGCGATTTACACGAGTGCTATTTGCCGCAGCAGCCAAGTTTATAATCTTTTTAAAAGATCATTTATCAATAAATCTAATTTACCAGATATCATCATATATATTATGTAACACGTACTCTTTCAATCGTCGCGTGGGGCAGCCCACTAATGCCTAAAATTTTACTTAAGGCAGAAATAGGAACTGTTCCAGCAACTGGTGACGCCTGCGCAAAAGCAGAATTATATACTTCGGGTAATAAGACGTCCGCTAAACAGGAAAAAATATATAAACATATATATATATCAGTACTAGCTGAAAACTTATCGTAACAAACAAAAAAGCGCACCCAAAATAGTTGAAATATCGTTCAACTGAGGAGGCTCCCATGGGTTAATGTTGTTCAAAGATTCTGTAGTAAACGATGTAGACTGACTAACTTCCGGAATTTCAGGACTTGCTGATATAGAAGACTGAAATTGAGAAGGTTCAAAGAAAGAACTAGACAAAGGATCTTCTTCCATTTTTTTTTAAATTAGTAGTTGTATTTCAGACGAAAAAATTTGATTGTGGGAAAAAAAAATTTTTTTTTGTGAAAGTTATCAGTTAACTGAATACAGCATATAAGCTACTTTAATAGCAATCCATATACAATTTGAAAGTATCGGTATATTTTATTTTATTTAGGTAATAGAACTGGTGTAACGCACTGAATTTGCTTCTATCGTGAGTACTAATAAGGGCGTATACAATATACTAACTATTTAAAAAGATACTTTTGCATACATTTGAGAAAGAAAGAAAAAAAAAAGAAGCTAACATAAGTTAGGAATATCATTTTAACAATAAAACAATAACGATTTTAAATATTTTTTTTTATTTGGACTGTATGAAAAAGCAAGACGCCATTGTACTATACATCCCACATATTTGTTTCAAAGTATATTATCGCACAATTAATTTTCTTGATAAGATAAAGCAAATTCCAAAAATTGGTAAAATCCAGATTATAATAGCACCATCCCAGTTCAGTTATGCCTCATTACTGGTAGAAGCTCTCTGGACACGAACGTGAAGTTTATCAAACAATGCATAAGGTTATTTTGTGGAAACTTGAATTTATGGGATTATCGTAAACTTTTCACGTGATGCTAAAATCTACCTTTTTTTTGGTTTCTTTAATATTAATAATAATTGTAATACGTATTTTTTGTTTTTATCAATCGAAACCGGTTAATTAATTTTATTAAAGAATTACTAAATATAGAGAAGTCTGATTCGGTCAAAAATTGGTACGTATAAAGAATCTTAGTACTTATAATCAATTTATAAACAAGTTATTGATTTTATTTTGAGTTATATATTGATATTATTACATATACTGTATTTTTATCTTTATTAACAGTTAATAATTTTTTTAAAAAACTAAAATTTGTTTTAATTTCATATTATATTTGATTCTAAAATTTAATTGGCTTTATTAAATAACTATATTTTTCCTTATTAAAATTAATAAATTTTATCTAAATTCTATATTAGTAAATTTGTAAAATTAAAATAAAAAAATTTATTAAATTTGATTAAATAGTTAAAATATCTTTAAAATTTTAAAATTTCTATTTAACAAAAAATATTTTAAAAATATTTAACTCAAACTAGTATTTTTGGTTCTCATAACTCGGCCGGGTCAAAATTTGCGAAAATTTTACTATTCGAATTGGTTTTTTCAAAAATTTTTATATGTTTTTTTTTGAAAATAAAATTAAAAGCCGAGTTGCCGGATCATCTAAAATTTTACGTTATGAGAACCAAAAATATCAGTTTGTATAGCCTAAAATTCGATAAAAAAATTTTATATAATTGCCAAGATATCTTTGTTTAAAGTTGTAAAAAAATTGTATATAAAAAGTATGGTTAATAAATTTCTCAAAAAATATTGTTATAATAATAAAAATTAAATTAAATCTAATATTTAAATTATTTATTACTAACGCTAACAAAAAAGCATTTAATTTTTTGTTATATAATCTCAATATTAAAAAAAAAAAACTTACTATAAATAATAATATATAAAATATGAAGTTTTTTTTAATATTTATAATTTTTGTAATATAATAAAATTCACATAATAATTTACCAATAATTACTAAAGCCATTTATAATTATGTAATATAGAAGATACCCTTTACTACACCAAATAAAATAGTCTAAAGAAAATAAACTGTATAAAACTTTTTCATCAATATAACCAAAAAAAAAAAAAAAACCCCTTGCAACACTAATCCAACACAAAAATAAATGCGTGTCTAGAAAAATTGTTAACATTGTGTAATAATAATAAAGTCGATCTGAAAACAAAACATATATATTTAATATAAAAACTGGTTTAATATATGTTATGTAAAAACCATCGAAAATAAACAAGAAAAATTAGCGAATAAAAAATTAAAATAAAAATAGTTATAAATTATTAATTTTTCTTGCCAAAAATTTTGCTGCCTTTTGAGACACTACAGAAACAAAGAAAGGTTTTTGAATTACAGCTATGAAAATATAAATTCAAACACACGCCTGATTGCAAATACCGTAGATAATAATGATAGCTACCTTGCACTCCGATTGGCATTATATAACTCTTGGAATTCACGCTCCTCTGATGCAAGCGCTAAACGTTGTTCTTCTAATTCTGCCATAAGTTGTTGTCGACGTTGGTTGAGCTATTTTCGTTAGGCAAAAAATAAATGTCAATAAAACAATAAGTTGGATTAAAAAAAAATGTTTTAACGATCGTAATCGAATACTAAAAAATTACCTGTTCCTCTCTTTCTCTTAAGTTTGCTTCTTTTTCTCTAACCTTCATTACAAAGTTTTGTCGCATTTCCTCCTCTTTCTTAATCATTTCTTCCGCCATACTTTGTTTGCTTCTTTCAATTCTGTGTTCATAGGAATCATCACAAGCAAGAATCGATTCTGGACGACCACTAGAACGAAGTTTTTGGGCACGATAATTATGATAATGCACTGTATGACTTGTCTCAAGAAGGTCGTGAAGGGCATGTGTCATGAGAAGTTCACGAAGATGAATGAAATCACAATGCTGTTCATTTTCAACTATTAACAAATAAGTTAATATTTACAAGAGCCGATAAAAATCGAATAAACCACAAACAATATATCAAGTTAACAAACCTTCAACAACACCCCATCGATATGATCTTCCTCGCACTTTTTTTCCACCAACATCCACGAATTGATCACTACCAATTACAGTGAACGGGATATATTTCTAACAAAAAATAATAATACATTAGCAAAGGTTGTTATACAAAACAAGAAATATAAATAGGTACCTCAAGATCTTCAACACTTTCCCGATCATCAGGATATGCAGTTGGAAAAATTCTAATATCATTAAAATCAATGTCTCTTAATATCTATATTATATATAAATAACAAATAAGAATTATTAATGGACATTGAAACAATAATAATATAAACCATTCCTATTTATTACGACATGAATGTACATACGGTTTTCTTAAATGCAGCCTTCTCTTCTTGTGTGAGTGTATCAGCTTTTGCGATAACTGGAATTACGTTTACTTTGGCGGACAAAACTTGAAGAGACTTAATATCGAGTTCTTTAAGACTATTAAAATAATATAGTTTGAAAATTAAATAATAAAATTATAATATACAGGTCATAAAAATAAAAACATACGCGTGACCAGTTGGAGCAATGAAGTATAAAAGAGCATGTATGCGAGTATCTGGAATGGCACGTCTAAATTCGGGGCTACGTTCAGCTGCATGGTAAGCCTCAAATTGATTATCAATATACTCTACAATAGGATCAAGACTATAATAATTTAAGTTAAAATATTTTATTAGAATTATTAAGATTAATGAAATGAGTGTTACAGAGTGAAAATCTGTAACTGAACCTTTTTAAATTTATCAACTGTAGTGATTATCGTATTATATTTTATATAATAAAATAATCATTACGGTGATAAAGATTCAGTTACAGGTTTTCATTCTGCAGCACTCAAATAAAATAGACGTTAACGCACTTGTGTTCTCGATTAAGTTGGTCACCAAATCCAGGTGTGTCAACAACAGTAAGATTAAGAGTAACTCCGTCTTCAACCAATTCTAAGATATAAATGATGAAATTTAATATCATATAAAAGATTAAATACAGTAAGAAACCCATTGATAGACACTAACCATAATGTACGGGGCTAATTTCCACTGTTTGTGTGGATTGGGGATTTTTAGGATGGATTTCTTCTTTAAGAGGTGTGTTAAAAAGAGTATTCATAAAAGTAGTTTTTCCAAGACCACTTTCGCCTTTTTACGTTAACGACACGAAATATTAAATAAATTCAATTATAACAAGAATATTGATTGAAATAATTAAACTCATTAATAATACATACCAACAACCATAATATTAAGAACATAAGGGGTTCTTTTTGTCTTGTTGAAGCGTTGTCGAGGAAGAGCTTCAATCCCAAGTGTGTCTCGTAGAACAACCTCTCGAGTTTGAGGGATCTTCCAAGGACCAGGATCGGGGAAATAACCTCTAAAAGATAGTTGACAAACGATTGGTAAACACATGTTCAAATATAATAAATATATTTATTTAAATAATTAAAAAAATTCCGAGCAGTTAAATAACTGAATTTCAATCTCATCGTGGTTAATAAAGTTTATTAACATTGAGAAGCTCATCTTGTTTTATAATTATATATATTTACCTGTGTTGAAGAGCGTATTCCTATTAAAAAGTAAAGTAAATGTGACAAAGAGGAATGAAAAAGGAAAGTTACTTTTGCATGTGTTATTGAAACAAGCTAGAAAAAAGTAATGGAAGGTAATTAACATACCAAAGGCATTGTATCGGCAAATAAGTAAGATAAGGGAGCGACTTTATCTTTGGAGAAACGAATGGAACAGGGATTGAAACTGAGTTGGACTTGTTGTGGGAAAGCTTTTTTTGTGGATTGGGATTGAACGGTTTTGTTAAAAACACCCTAGGGTTATATAATATCAATATTTCTCCAGTCAAAAAAGTCGGACAGATTCGCACGACTATAAAATGGCTTTAAACTCATAGATACATGATTGGATACTGACATTAAAATCGGTAACATTCCATTTGTTTGGAGTGTTTGGAGTGCACAAATGTTTGATCGCATATCGAATGCTCTTCCTTTAAATATATATTTTTTTGTATAACGTAAAGATGCATTGTTCAACATAAAAAGTTGAATTTGGACGAATAAGGGAAATTCTGCTGCATCCATTGTTGCTCACGTTTTCTTAAGTATGTATTATTTTATAAATATTACTTTTTTTGTATTTTTTTTCGATTTTCTCTTTTTACTCCTAACTCTTTTACATATGGGATAAAACTCATATTTGGTGGTAATTTATCTTCGTTCTCTATGAACCAAGCTGCTACTGGGTGGCCAATTCGTGGATCTTTCTTCTCTTCACCCAAATAAAACTTGGCAGCATCACCGACCGTTTCGATAAAATTAAGATCTAAATTTGGGATATCTCTACCAATTAAAGACGTACAATCCCGTAGAATCTATGAAAACACTGAGCGTATTATTATTTTGTAACGAACGATACGAAAAAATTATGTTTGACTCATACCTCGAACTTGAGTTTTGGATCGCTTAGTTTCACATCCATCCACTTACTTTTGTCGGTTAATTTTACATGCTTTTGAACAATGTCATGAATCCTATTTTTAATTTCATCCGGTTCCGTTATTTTTTGTCTGCGAGTTTTTTTTTTTTTGTTTAAAAACATTATTTATATATACTCTCTTCAAAATAATATAATAATATAATAATAATAATTAATAATCCATAAATACCGTACAGCGCGGACCATAGTACCCTGAATACCCTGAATACGATTCATTCTATAGCAAAAATCCAAGTTAGTACCGAGTATTATATAATGCCTGGGCATTATATAGAAAATTGTAACATGTGCAATTACGATTTTATTTAAACTTATTTAGAAATTCACTAGTCAACGTGCATAAGATCCAAGCCTCAATGCAACAGTCATATGACCTATGTTTAATCTATTATCTGTTATATTAAAATTGTAGTAAATGTTTTTTCTTTCTAATTTATATAACAGTCAGAGGATATGTCACATCTGTTGATATATAAGTGCTAGTTTATAATAAAAATTATAATACTATAAAAACATATAAATTTACTATAAAGCTTTATATTATTTCCAACTTGTATCAAATTTTAAAATTAATTATATCGAAAATAGTAGATTAAGATTATTTAAAAAACTTTTTTAAAATTCTATAAAGATTGTATATTTCTTAACAGAATTTTATAATAATATATTTAGATTTAAACTAGATTTAGATTAGGTTTAAGTTAGGTTTATATTAGGTTAAATATCTTATAAATATTATATATCACACCTTTATGATATTTAGCTTAACCTAAACCTATAGTATTGCAATATATTTTTGAGATAACTTACTAATAAACAAAACAATCTAAAAAAAAGATTTTTAATATAATTATAATAAATAGTATAATAATAGTAGATTGATAAGTTCTCTTATTTAACATTCTTATTACTTCAGAGTTAAAAGCTAGATTTATTCCAAATGTCTTTTATAGTACTAAAAATTTTATTTACAATATATAAAATTTTATTTTTAAATTCTTTATATTTAATCATGAATTAACTTTTATAAGAAAAATATGCAAATTCTCTAAACAAAATCTTTAACTCTTGATAGAAGTATAGGTTTCATTTGTTAACCTGTTTCTAAATAAAATAATTTAAGAAGTCATACAGACAAATTTTTAATATATTATTCACATTACAAAATTCGATATAATGATTAGACCTAACATCACTTTTATTTAACATACACTGTTTTTAATTTAATAATTTATAGCATTTATTTAACAAATTTGATTTGTCTGAGTTTGACACATTAACCACATACATTTGGGTTTTAGTTATTATCCAGAATGAAGTAAAAATTTTGATTTTTAATCTATACTGAGTAGTATCAAAAAAAAAAAACATGTTTGGGTTGCAACCCTATAGCTAACACCATTAATTATAGGTAAAGTCCTTCGGGTGTGCCTTCAGATTTACGATAAAGGACTTTTTCTCGCGCTTTTCTAAGATCTTCTGCGATTACTTTCATACGACGTTCCCGTAGAGCCAACAAACCAGCTTCGGTACATATAGCCTAAAACGCGTAAAAACAATAACATAAATACACTATCATTTTAAAAAATTCAAAATTCAATATGTATACCTTAATATCAGCTCCGCTCAAATCATCTTTAGACATTACAAATTCTTCAAGATCCACATCCTCTGACAATGTCATTCTTCCGGTATGAATATTAAAAATACGACGTTTCGTTTTTACGTCTGGAAGCGGAAATTCTATTTTTCGATCAATACGTCCTGGTCGAATTAGTGCAGGATCTAATGATTCAATACGATTTGTTGCCATGACAACCTTTAAATATAAACTCCAATTAAATATTTATTTATTTATAGAATTATATGAGTAGAAATTTCCTACAGGTTAATAACTACCTTTACATCTCCTCTAGAATCAAACCCGTCTAACTGGTTTAGAAGTTCTAACATGGTTCTTTGAATTTCTCTTTCTCCGCCCGAATTAGAATCATATCTATAACCAACATGTTAATCAATTTAAAATCAAGTCAGATAAAATTCTAATTATTGCACAAATAAGAATCGCATCTATGTACCGTTTAGTTCCAATAGCATCAATTTCATCAATGAAAACAATAGAAGGCGCGTGTTCTTCGGCAACACGAAATAATTCACGTACAAGTTTTGGTCCATCTCCAAGATATTTTTGAATCAATTCTGATCCCACTACACGCAAAAATGTTGCGGATGTTTGATTCGCCACAGCTTTAGCCAAAAGTGTTTTACCTATAAATTCATGAATATTTTATTATAAGTCGAGAGATACCTTAATAAATGAAATTATTGTTTCCTTTTTTTTTTTTTTTTTTTACCTGTTCCTGGGACTCCATACAAGATAACTCCTTTTGGTGGCTTTATACCCATTTCTTCGTAAAGTTCTGGATGTGTTAGTGGTAGTTCTACTGATTCTTTGATTTCTTGAATTTGTTGTTCTAAACCTCCAATATCTGCATATGATTCTGTAGGCGCTTTTTCAAGTTTCATAACGCTAACCATCGGATCTGTATCATCTTGAAGTACTCCGACAACAGACATAGCCTATTAAAAATCATACGTTAAAATAAGTAGGTCAATGGCAACAAATAATAACATTTTTTTTTTATACATGCCTTATGATGTAACAAAATTGAACATCCTGGTTCCAACAAATCTTTATCTACAAATGATAATATGCTAACATAATATTCTGGACCCGTAGAAGAAGAAACTATCGCGTGATCATCGTCAATGATTTCCTCCAAGGAGCCAACACCCATTGGGGATCCACGTAAATCATCTACGCGAGTTCTTTCTTCCTGAGGACAGCCGAATTATAATTATTAAATATATTTATACAGATCAAAGTTGATAAAAGGACTACAATGAAAGAGAATTGTTATTACTTGAGCTTTTTCCTCTTGTGGTTTTAATCTCTCTTGATTCTGAACAAATTCTTCCTCCATTAACAAGTAATCTTTTATACGCTCCATTTTTAATAGTTTCAATCGACACCGCGTTGTGGGAAAGACTATCAGAAGATAAGGATCGTTAAGAAAATCGATTAAGTAAAAAAAGAAATAAAATTATTCGTGAATTATACCAGCAGGTAATTTAGACGTCGCATCGGGTCCTCTTCTTTTTTTTTACCAACACGAGTGGGAAGTGGTGGTTCCCATTTCTTTTTTTTGTCTTTATCCTATGAAATAATATATTTATTAGTAACTTGAATAAAGGTGAGACCGTAGAGAAAACAGAACAATCAAAACCTTATCCTCTTTCTTATCATCACCACCAGAGCCACCAAGTGGAGGAAGACCGCCAGGTTGTGTATTACCCTACGGTTTCGAGATGCATAAGCGATTTTATGATCATACTATAAAACATTAGAGAATTATTAAAAGTTGATATACATGCCATTATGAAGTTGAATTTTTTCGAGATTTTTTTTTTTTTTTTTTTTTTTGAAAATTTTTTTTTTTTTTTTTTTTTTTTTTTTTTTTTGTTTTTTTTTTTGTGTTTTTTTTTTTGGTTTTTTTTTTTTTTTTGTTTTTTTTTGTGTTTCTCATTTTTTTTATGTTTAGT